CTTCGCCTTTTCCGCCACGGTAAAAACAAATGCACTTACTCATCACTTGCCGTGAGCTTGTTTAAATTGATTTTGCGACTTCTGAATGGTTAAAAACCATTTTTGAGCACTTTGCCGGCAAACAGTGCCGACTGATGGCACTATAATTAGGAATGCGTAGTTAAAGGGAGTATCCCATCTTTGGCATACATTTTAACGCTATAATATGGTGAAGCCTTCAGACCAGCTATCTCTGATAAAACCCCTAGGTAGTGTCCCTGTAGCACCATTAAGATGTAATAAGCGCGCAAATTCTTATTATTTTCAAGTCCTAATCACGCTATCAACGCTTTGAAAGAGCGCTAACTTCTTGGTTTCGTGGTACATAACACAAGCATTTCTACCAATTAGGGTATTGTAAGCATTATAGAACACAAGCGTTGGAAAGAGCAAATCACAATTAACGTATTACCTTCATGGTGGTGACAAGGGGGCCCATTGAAACCTCTCTGTCAAAAGCGGCTGTTTCAGATTGAAGTTCTAAGCTTTTTTAAGAGAATGATTTCGAGAAAACTGGCGCCTCGTATTCATCGATTAGTGGAAATTAGGAAAAAGGTGGTATGCACCCTTTGACAAGGCGAGCCCGACATTTTTTATACGGTGTGCAAATAAACGCGTGCAAAATTCAAACGGCCTGTACTCGGACCTCGTGCACCTTCCTTTTGCATACCGGAAACTGCAAGCCAGCCTGTTGTATTGCTCACTATTTCACCACGCCGCAATGCTTCGATACCGCACAGTTCCAGTCATATCTGCAATTCGAATATTGTCGAATGTTCACTGCTGCAACAACTCCGATAGCTTCAAGCATCGCTAAATAAGCTAACTATACGTGCATCCCCCTCGATCGTCAGTATTCACCTTTAATTGCTGCGCGCCAGCGTCCTGGCTCCATATTCACGTTAATCGGCTCCTACAATTCGGCATCCTAAGATTCATCGTTTTCTCTTAACAGAGTAAGTAATCTCTCACCGGCTTGAATGCTGCTTAGCTTGTTTCACCACGGACACGATTATTGGTAACTCTCTGGGCTTAAAAACAGAAAGTGCCACCAACGCAAGGCGCTCATTCATGCCCGTATCGTGTCGTAAGGACGCGTGGGCGCTCCTAACGCTCGTACCTATGTGCTATGAAAGTTTTAGGCTTCTTGTTACCCCCTGACCCACACATTATTTCAGCTATCTTATTATCCTCTGGCCTGTGCCTGAGACTACACGATTGATAAACAGAGCCGCTGCAAAACAGGAAAATACCGCCTGGCTATAAACCACTACAAACCACAATGACTTCCTTGTCTTAACAGTTCGAAGCCTCGATACGTGAAGGAAGAGGTCCGGTCTAATCTCAGTCTAGAGACTCGACTTTGCCCCATTTGGAAAATGGGTCCTCAGGGCCCAGACCGGCATGGACTCACTGTTCGGCATTGGAAGTCTCAAGCAGCCAGTTGACATAGAGACCCTCACTGTCTCGGGGAGCCCCCGATTGGTGCGAGAGGTGCTTTGACTGATACTTTCGGGTCTGGCCTTCAGGCTACGCTCTTCTGAGCTGGGCAGAGCTTCCCGGAGCTTCGTGGCGCCCCTGGCATTATTGAAATGAAGGTCTTGCTTCCGTGTTTAGTGCCCCCTGGAATAGGGTCTTCTTGCAATTCAAGCTTCTGATGCTCCGAAAGGAAGGTATTTGGCGCCTCTTCGCCGAGAGCGCCAATCCAAGATATTGCAAAGCTGAAAGGCAAGGAAATTGTGGCGGCCCTGCGTTTTGGTCCACTTCCAAAACGAAGGCTTTGGGCCCTTGAGTAGCGCGCTTGGGCGTGACAGCTGTTGAAAATGCAGGTCATGTTGCCGGAAATGTAAGCTCGTGTGTCCCCACGCCCAAGGGGCCGCTCAAGGATGTCGTCAGGGTAGGAGGCATAACGTTGTTGTGGCCATGAACTTTCGTGCCTCTTGAGAATGAAGATGTGAGACCAGGGGTGTCGTTGTGTCGTCGCTGACACCAGGGGTGTGTTTAAGTCCTTGGGAGGGGTGGCTTAATCGGCCTCGGCAAGGTTGACCTAACCTACCCCGAAACCTAATTTCTTCCCGTTTTCGGATACGGCTGTGTTCTCGATGTTAACGATTTTTTTTCTCAATCGGCGTGCGACAAGCTTAACTTGGTTTTGGTTTGTGATATTTACCCTTCCCTCTTCCCCGATTGTAAAGTACTGTGTGTGCCAGGGGTGAGAAAAGTGCCTTTTCTGCCGCCGACGAAAGTGAAATTGTCTTAATTGTCAGCTGGAGCCGAATCCTCAGAAACCGTTGCAAAATAACTTTAAAAGCAATAAGCCACAAAGCAAAAACAAATGTGTGCAGTGCTTCATAACCATCAAACATTTTTGTTTCGGGAGCCCATTTGCATTTAAGTATCATTTCCTGGCCATCAAGCACTGAATGATGGTTGAAGCTTGACCAATTAACTTATCACGTAAAGGCATAGTCAACAAAGCCGGCTTAGAGGCCTGGTATTTTTCTAGTCAGATGAGGGGAAAGGATTGTGCCTCCTAACCATGGGTGTAGTTTCGTATTTTTAGTCATCAGTTTTCATTCATTATTTTGCATTAATCACAAATTTCAGGGTTTAGCCCCCAAAACTAATTTTGAGAAACCACACCACTGCTCCCAATTGTGGAAACAAAGCGTGTCAAGTCTGTGGAGAAAGCTGTTTTGAGTGCATTTAGGAGGCAGGCTGTCATTTTTTCTTGCCCCCCCCCCCCTCCATCCATCAACCCTACGTATTTTGCAAAACTGCATCCTTGTAGCCATATATTTAACGACAACATGGTTCTACAAACACCTGACAACAATCTCACGTTTGGTTTTGTGACGTCATCGTGCAATGAGCTGAGCGCACAGGCAGCCTCCACTATCTTCGCATAATCATTACTGGTGCAGAACTCGCACTTCCTAAAATGATCCCAATCATTTAGAGCAAAACCCATGCAATATCGGTATCGACAGATGCAAGCGACATTTTTGAACGCCTCTACCACCTTCAATCAGCTTTATATGCAATGTGATGAAAACAAAAAGCGTTTTATCTCACGCCTGTCCAAACGATTAGTACGCTATGCCAGAGGTGCAACGGCAGTGTGAGGGGCCTACGAAGGCGATGTTCAGTCTCTCCCTCAAAGCCGCTGCTACTCTCAGCAGCAGAAAGCCCCGGATAAATCTTTGACATGTGTCACTCCAACGTCCTCCGTTTACCTCTGGAGCTACAGCTTAGGTATCCACAAACAGCACACCTAGATCGGCAAGGCTTTTTAACGCTCTTACATTAAAGACCTCACGCTTAGCTGCCACGTTCTTCTAGTCAGTCAGCTTCTCACGACATGAACACAATCAATAGCAGTCCACAGCCTTGCACTGAACCCAACGCATCAACGTGTGGCGAGTATTCGAGCCCATTTATCTCAAACGGCGCGACACTTTAAAACGCTACGCAGAAAACTGATCACGCTCGTTGCAAGATGCTGCGGCGAGCGACGATCTTTATGACTAGCAATATGTCTAGTTATTTGGTATTTGATACTGTTTAGTATTTGAAGTGCATCTTAGCTTAAAAATCTGCCAAAAGCAATAATCTGAGGGGCATTGGAAAAACACGGCGTCACCGCTGATCTGTGACGTCAGTGCTGATAAAGTATAGTTTACAGTATATTTCTAGTGCCTGCTAAAAACTCCTGATTAAAAGAACTATGTTTGGAAGCATCTTATGGTTGAATTTGCTCATGAAGCGAAACGTCAGCGTTTTGACATGTGTTTTGCACATGCTCATGCTGCAAGTGTTGACGAGCATAAAACAATCCTAAGCTTTAAGTTTCGTTTAGCTGGGATGGTGAGCTGTAATGTGGTGTGGGTCTATTAAAATGGTTTGCATTTTCGCAATTTTGTCACCAATTGGTTTGCAAAAATGCTAGTTTTTGTCATAACCAACAAATCAGAAGATTTTTCACCCCTGGTGTGCGCCTCTGCCAACCGACGCATGAAATTTGCGGATAAGTAGCAAAGGTGAAACAAACAAATTGTTTTCATGTGAAAATTCCGTTTATAACTCGCAAGTCGCGCAAACACGTAAGTGCGACTAGCTGTCTTTATGGTGAAAGGCCATACAATATAGGACTGATGTCGCATATAAAAGTGCATTTCGGCGTTCCAATCATGACGTAATCGCGTGAAAAACCTGCCGATAATTGCAGACTGGCTTGGCAGATCTAAGAGTTGGAATGACATATGGTAGGTAGGGTACCCGGAGGATACTACTGGTATAACATTAAGATGAAACTGGCGGGTAGTGATTTCTTCAGGTAGATAATTAGGATACGAGCATTCCAGGGAAATTTATTTTGTTCCAATGATTCAGTATTCCTTGTAGGTCCGTATTCATGGGGTGGGGGTGGGTGTGTGGCTCAAGTGAGCATTTGGGAGCTTGGGCCGTCCGAATTACATGAAGCGACACCCCTGTTTGGGACCCTGTATGGTGCCCTCTAGAATTGAAAGTGTCTACGAAATATAGGCTTTTGTGTCCGGAAACAGAGGTTTCGGTGTCCCTTCGTCGAATGGGTAGACCCGAAGGCTTGTCAAAACACGCGGCATGGACGTTGTAGCGCCCTGGAATGTTGCGCCTCTCGGAAACGAAGATTAGAGGCCATTTGTGGTGCTCCCGGAATTTGGTGTCCGGTGGGGGGCATGTCCGCCTCTAAGTCTGCCTTTGGCTTCAATACGGTGTCATACTCCAACGTACGTAGCATTATCGCATATCACAGACTCCCAATTTGCCTACGACTAAAGCGGTGCGCCAGATCGGTATTCAATGGTATGGGGTAAAGTTTGTAGTGAATGCGTGCACTAGTTAGATTTCCTGTTAATAGATGGCAGTAAAATCTCAAACGCTCAGCTGGTCGACTGTTTCCCAACAGCGCTGAAATTCGGTGCCGCACCCTGTTGCGATTGCCGTTCATTGTGAGAGGGTGGTGTGCTTTGCGTCGGATCGTTCCCCGATTGTTTCGTGGGGAACGGCGGGGACATGACGCATTAAAATTGTCTAGCATTTCGTCTTTGTCCACCATGTCAATGCCTTTAAGAAACAAAGACTTTATTGCTGCCGGCAAATACAAAGCCATTCGTAAAATTGGAAGTGGATCCTTCGGTGAAATCTACACAGGCATCAACACCACAAATGGGGAGGTAGGTGTGCAGGGATAGGTGGCATGCTACTGTTGGATAGTGATATTGCTGTGTGACTATTGTGTGCTTGAAATGCTTTTGCATATTTTATAATTGCATCACGATCTTGGGTTGGGTAGAGCCTAATGCTTCAGTACAGTTTGCATGTGGTTGTTTGGTTCTGAAACCCATGGCTGTAAACCCATCTGCTGGTACCAACTGTTTAACTTCCATTGAATGTTTATTGTGGTTTATAATAAAGCTGGATGCCTAGAATCAAGTTGAGCAAGGGTAGTTACCTGCTGTTCTGGTAACGTCTGATTAAGCAGTGCCTTTGGTCTCTTATAATGCTCCATTTTTGAAGATATTGCATAGTTGGTGCAACAGTAGGATAACTTAACATGCAGCACATCAGTGTTGGAAAGTTGAAAATTTTTCCTGGTAGAAGATCTTCTACCATTACAGCTTAATGAGATTATCTTTGAGAGATTATAGTACAATGAGTGGCACACAACAAAGGCACCACTTTTCATATGTAGTAATTCATTTAAAAGCACTTCCAATAAAATAAAATATCAATATTAAACATGGCACACTGAAGCAACACAGTATCATACTCTGTACCATGAAACACATGTGCACATACATTGGTTTGCAATTTATGAAAGGCCCTGTGCATACACCCTTCAGAATGGGGGGTAATTACAGGTCAGGTCTGTACATTCCAAAATGGAAGGTGGCTACACACCGGGCTTATACACCCTTCAAAATGGAGGGTAATTACATGTCGGGCTTACGCACTCCAAAACGGAGGGTGGCTACACACTGGGCTTATACAACCTCCAAAACAGAGGGTGGGTGCGATATGTACAGCCAGACTAAAATGATGCACAAAAATGCAAATGAACACGCCACAGACAGCTACCTACTCGTGCTCCACCACAGTCACGCTACTCACGCTCCACCATGATCACGCTACTCATTCTTCGCCAGCTGTTTTAAAAAATGGCCGAACATTCATGCCCTCCACCTTCCAATTCCTGGTCAACACAGGAGGCCCTCCACATCCCACCTGAACAATAGAGGCAGACAGCACTTGTAACCGATTAACCAGCCAGCGCAAGTACAATGCCTGAGAGACCTGTGTAGGCCGGGCAAAAGGGATTGGAATCAGTCATTCTGTTGACTCCATTGGATAATGCAAGGTATTTATGGATTTTGGTATGCTGTTACCTATACCATTTCAAAATATGATAATTTGTGTTGCAATTAATTGATGTTTTTGTCCTAATAAACCCCTCCCTAATTTGCGGGGCCAAAGTTACGAGTACATGTTACTCTGGTGTCCAGATGTTTTTGCAAGAGTGAGATGGCTGTCTCTGAACAGTTTTTGGCTATTTATAGCAATGTTTTTTGACTTAAAGGGTATTCTTGTAAAGCTTGAATTACCAGCTTTGATTTTGCACACCAAAGTGAAAATTTAACTTGGTTTAAATCCACAGCTGCCTTAGCATTTATGCACTCCGGATACCAGGAAGTGGCCAAAAATTCAAACACATGGGGGTTCTGGATGAGTACAAATAAGTCCTTGTTTGCCTTGCAAGTCCATCATTCAATCGTGATGCCCATCTCAGTACAGTTTCCCTCCAAATGTTTACAAATCTGTTCAAGACATGAAAGTGAGCAGAATATTTATGCTCTTGACAAATCAGTCATGGGGAGGTGAGTCATTAAAACCAATTGGAGAGTTTTGCTATGTCAACCTCCAACCTGAGCTGGGAGGCAGGAGCCCCTGAATAGTTAGGACGTTTCAGAGGCTGAATCAGCTGAATCACGAGTGATTCTATTATTTGCAATGCCATGACGCAGTGGTGGCGCATGGGAAGGCGGCCGGTGATTGGGGGTGTGGTCATCTGTGAATTTTCCATGTTCAAGTTTGAGTTGGTCTGTGAAGGGCATAGGAAGTGAGAGCTTTGCCAGTTTACAGACCGGTGTGATTCTGGTACTCGTTTCTGATTTCCCAGTATTGTTCAAAGGCAATTCCATTCAACATTCACATGCTTTATTTTTCATATTTCCACATGTGGTTTATCATGTACCTGGGTTGCAACCCAGGATGCATGCCATTGAGCATCTTAGTCTGGTGGGTGCAATATTTGTGCTCTAGCAGATATCAAAACATGGCTCCTGATGGAAGCAGCATCAACCTGTTGCACCTTCTGGTTTTATTTTGTCCTGACACAAGGAGGTAAAATGAGTTTTTTCAAAAGCTGTTCTTGCTTTATCATGGTGGAGTACAAAATATTTCATTTTAGCTAGTCACAATCCTGAAGTACAAAATGTCTTGGTATACATTATACCAGGAAACATCACATTTACCAACACTGGTGTAGAATGCACTTTTTTGGGATCTCACAGATTTGGGGCTAGTCACAAATCAACCCACATATTTTGTTAGCACTGACATTGCTGTATTCTTGGTGTTTGTTGCTGTTTTCTGGGCACCACCTGATGCTTGGTCACTTCATATATCATCAAAATTGATTAAAAATCTTATTCATTCCTTAACCTTTATAGTTACATTTTGTAACTTTTTCATGTCAGCTGATTGTACCAGGTCATGTAGGCCCAGATCTTGTTCACCATCCAGTCTGTATATTGACAGGCAACCAGATGTTGAAGTCTGCATGAATGAAGTGATAGTCCATGCATGGTGAAATGGGACCACACTGATAAGACCCATTTGAAAAACACCATTCATCTGTCATGTTTTGGTTGTAGTATTTCAGCATTATGCCATTGTGTATTATTCAGTGGTGTCAATATACCTGTGGTTGATGAAGTCATGCCATTCTGGGGTCTAATGTTAAAAGTGGAGAGCATTGGTGGCATATTCTTAGTAATGTGCACAGCTTGAGTTAATCATGAGGACCAACAGAGCAAGTGTTGTTTCTTGTGCTCCTGTCATTGTTAGTGGTTCATAAACAGTTATTCAGTCATTTTGATTGTACTGTTTTCTCACCCCTGATTTATGGGTGCTATATGAAAGTACAGCCAAAGTGCCCCACAGCCCCAATTAATGCTACTTTATCCCTGGGATATGTAAGACAGCTGGCCAGTCATGCAATCCTCAGAGCTACATAATGCCAACCCCATTCCCCTATCCACCTAAGCAGTTACACACCTGTCTCAGTCTGCTGGTTAGTCTCCTTTTAGCACTGTGGTGTGGACATATAAATTTTGGATGTAGAAGCGTAATGCAAAATGGCAGTGGACACAATACCATAGTGATTAATTTGGCAGTGTTTTGATAGTTTACTGAACTGTTGCACCATTAACATTAATACTTAATGGATCTCATCATATTTAGGTGGTCCCCATTCACAAGGTCTAGTTACATGTGTATGCCTCATTTATGGGGCCTGGTATTTTGTTGAGACATGTGTTGACCTATTTCACTCCTGTTATTGGTATATCATCAGTAATCTCTTGCATCAATAGCACATCAAAAAAGGGTTCCGTAAGCATTTTGTTGTCTTGCACTAGTCTTGCTACAGTCTTGCATCTCTTTTTAAATGCTGTCAGTACCCATTGCCGTTTTCTGTACCCAAGGGTGAAAGCCATGCTGTAGAGCAATTTATGTCAGTTAATGATGGGTTTTGATTGTTGAGAATTGATCAGTAATTTATAATACATGATGAATTACCTTAAGTTGATTGTGCCATCAGGAAGCATTAAATGCTTTGTGTTGCATGGTCATGATGAAGTTCACCATTCCTGAGGGTGATAATGGAAGCAAATGTTCCATTTATTTTTAGTTTTTTATCTGAACCATTGGATGTTTTTTTTTTTGTAATCAGGGCTCACACTAAGCAGTGATTATTGTGTGAGCCCTGACACCTACCATCTGATCATGCAATGCCATGTTAGCAGAATTTCATGGCAAAAGGTCAATGTGCTGCAATGCTCAGCGCAGTCTGTCCTATCCTGTGATGTCCTTTGACCTTTATTGCAGCTGCTGCCACTGGCTGCAGGCCATAACTCAATGGTTAGATGCTAGAATTTGTTGTGCTGTTTTTCACTTTGTTTGTGCTTTCATCCTGTCTTTACATTTGTGTGGTGCATGGTGCCTAATGGAGAAAGAGCAAACATAATGCACAGGCCTCAATAAAAAGGGCATATTAATTTTGCTGTTTCTGAACATGTCAGGCCAGTTGCCTAGGCATGTTCTTATATTGCTTTGCTGCTGGTGTCCTCAGGCTTATTTCATCTGAACATGGTGGGTAGTTTGTACTATGAACTAATGCTGTACTGTTCTGTTCCCAGGAAGTCGCTCTGAAGCTAGAGCCAATCAATGCACGGCATCCACAGCTGCTGTATGAAAGCAAGCTGTATAAAATCTTGCAAGGTGGCATTGGCATCCCACATTTCAGGTAAGTTTCAGGAATTGACTTGCATATTAGTCAGCTGTTTGTATAGGAAAGCGTAATTGCACACCATGCTATATGCAGGTGAAAGTTGTCCTCTGATTCAAACATGCATTGCTTTTCAAAGTGCCACTGCTTCAACATTCTAGGTTGATGTTATTTATTTTGGCTTTGTGGCATGAAGAGGGGTTCAGACACTCAAGCAGGACCAGCACAGCATTCAAGCAGGACACAGTGATGCTCAGCAAGATGGGCAGTATGTTATGATGTTGTGATAATTGTGATAATGCTAGGCATCATGTGGTGGCAATTTTCTTCCAATCTGCCACCAGGGGTGGCCATGACAGGGATTCAATGGGGAAACCATGGGTGTGGGGGTCAAACTGGAATCTGTAGGGGAGAACCTGACCTGGAAGCGACTTTGTTATCAGAAACATAAAGGTTTGCATTTTATGGACAGCAAATTGGGTAATGCAAACACACATTCTGAAAATTGTAGAGGGCATTTCCCCACGCCCACCCTGACCCTAAGTGAGTACACCCGTGCCTGTCACTATATGGACCATGTCTGCCTGGTTTCACAGATGGTTCGGCAGGGAAGGCGAGTACTGGGTGCTGGTGATGGACCTGCTGGGGCCATCTCTTGAGGATCTCTTCAATTTCTGCTCACGCCAGTTCACGGTGAAGACGGTGCTGATGTTGGCAGACCAGATGGTTGGACGGGTGGAGTACATTCATAGCAAAAACTTCATCCATCGGGACATCAAGCCAGACAACTTCCTCATGGGAATTGGCCGCCACTGCAACAAGGTCAGTTGTTGCATCTGAGGGTTCATGATGTCTAGTAACAGACCTGCTTGCCTCTATTATCTTTTGGAATCCAACAGAACAGATGCCAAAAGACAGGTTGTCAGATGTGCTTTGTAATTCCTATGATTAAATACCTTCTTGGTGTACACAAAGGCACAGCATGGGACTGATAATTACTATGGATTAGAGTATTCAGTTCACAATAAGTGTGAACTGAGTTACTGTGATGACTGTTCACCATCAATAAACTGGGTCACCACACACAGGTGAATTCATAGCATACACTGCAGCAAGCCAAAGCCTCTTATCAGCCTTTTGCACTTTTCCACAGTTGAATTACTTGTGTTTTGAAATTGCAGTGCTTTAACCTGTAAGCCTGGTTCATGCGTTGGTTAAGACAGCATCTCCCGAACGCAACTCACCCCGAAGCGTTCATTGGCGGGGGGGGGGGGGGGGGGGGCGAGAGCCAGTCATGCTGTTAACATGAGAGAGTGCAGTTATTCGTAGCCATGGCTTTTTAGGCCAACACTGAAATGAGATGTGTTTGAAATTTGTGATGTGTTTGAACTGGCAAGAAGACCAATGGAACCAGCTCTTCCAATTCTCCATGGCCAATCAGAGATCAATCGCAACGTCATGTAACTGATGGCGTCGTTGTGGGGCGGGTGGGCCATTTGTGACACTGGCACCACGCTTTGCAGCTTTTTGTCATAGACTTCGGACTGGCCAAAAAGTTTCGAGATAGTCGCACGCGCGTGCACATCCCGTACAGAGAGGACAAGAACCTGACGGGCACGGCCCGGTACGCCAGCATCAACGCCCACCTGGGCATCGAGCAGAGGTGAGCCCGCCTGTGGCGCTTGAGTGCGCCGCCAGCGCGAGCCGCGTGCAGCTCCGGATTATTGGTGGTGCAGAGCTGCGGTGTCGGGGTCCAGTCATCAGAAGTTTCATCATTCGTTGTGGTGAGCTGGCGCTGGGTGGGTAGAATATGCAGGTGATGTGCCCTGCACCCAGTATCTCGAATTTGGTGTTGACTGTTGGGGGGGGGGGGGGGGGAAGAGAACAAAAATGCTAAAATCATGGCTTGTGAGTGAGGACAAAATAGCCTAGGTGAGTTTGTGCTGTATTCACAACTGGTACTGAATGACATTCTTTGTCAGCAGATCACAATAGACACCATGCTCTAGCTGGTATCAGTGATTGCTAAAGACCAGTAAAGAATCAATAAAAATAAATCAGTCAGAAATCAGCTGCTAGCAATTGTTAAATGTTCTAGTTTCCAAAGTAAGTGCTCCTAGCTATGCTCCTAAGTCTATGCTCTCATCCGCAATATGTTTTTAAGGTATGAGCACAGAAAGTTGATATTGGTAAGTCTATTGCAAAGGCGGAGTCTCAACAAGGCTGAAAGAAACCAATTCTCAAAATACTGTGCACCTTCTGAATAATTCCCCAAAGCACATTATAACAGCCTTTTATTGAAATTTGCACTATTTATTTGGGCATTAAGAGTTATCTGCTCACTCACACCACAAAGTTAAGTACAAAACTGCACCGTCTGGGACGTCAGACTGCTGCGTGATCGGGGCTCGGATGTCAACGCAGCAGGGGCGGAGGAAATTTTTTCTCCTCACAGAGCAAGCCAGCCATACATAGTTAGCACCGCAACTTCTACTCACCAACGATAAGTGTGATGCAATGTTTTTATCAGCGTATGACAGCGAGCTGGACGTATATAGTGTCTTTACCCATGCTATCAAACAGTCCCGCCATCAGTGCCCAGCACGGCTCCGGTACGCGGCTCGCACAAACAAAATGTCGGAAGGTAAACAAATGGGGCGCACGCAGTAACACCAAGCGTTTTGCTCAACGGCAAGAGACTGCTTTACTTTATACTCAGATCGTAATTTTCTGGCGGCGTTGTCTAGACTGATACCAAATTCATCTTTTGATTTAATGCCCCTTTGGTGCGTTTTCACCATGTATTCAGCTTGGACTTCTTGGCGGAGAATGTGGCTTCTCTTTAATGCTAAATCTTTCCTAAGAGTCGGGGGCTCGCGGAGCCGTGAATTTCCGCGTGCCCAAGGGGGGGGGGGGTTGGGATGGTGTTTAACGTCCCTATTGTACATCCTATACAGCCTGCATTTTTAATAGATTCAAATGCGAATTTAGTAATGAGTTCATGCTATATGAATGGGTATATGTTAGTGTGACATAATGCATTTTGGTATCAATTTTCATTATGTTCCAATGATTTCCACGTGCAATCCAGAAACGTTGAATCGGGACGTCCACGAGATGTTCTCTGTTCTCGCTTCTCCCTGGCTCGTTAAGAGACTGGGTTGTCGTCTTGAGTGCGGGCTCGGAGTCGCATTTTTGAGCGTGGGGGGGGGGGGGCGTCGTTTGATGGACGGCAGGTAGGTTAAACGTGTGCTGGCGAGCAGCAACGAACCAGGGCACTGAATGCATGGAATGAAAAGATGGCGTGTGGTGTGATATAAAGATTCGGCAGAAACCCGGAAGCAGTATCCATCGTTTAGTCGTGTGGATGCTGCACGCGATGCTGTCGAAACTTCAGGAATAGCTCACCTTCATCTGACGTCGCTAGCATAGAACAACTTGTTATATTCTTTCCGGTGCATATTTGTGGAGAACAGGATGTGTTCGGGTTAAAAACACCAAGAAGCACCCAAGCTTCAAACACTACCTGCACCCTTTACCCAGGGTGACTGAGTTTCATTTTCCATACTGCAATGTTTTGACAAGTGTCGCATGTAATTTCAGTTGCGTTCAGCCCTTTTGCTTTCTTCATAAACAATGCTTGTCTTCTTTTCACAAAGCCTTAAAAAGAAAGTGCATAGGGGAGCTAAGCTGTCCACCCATAAGCTGTGTTTGTCCACAGGGAGGTTTTTTTGGGGGTTGAAAGCCCACATATCTGCCACAAGTTCTTTGTTGTTAATCACACCAGTGATAAAGCTCCCATTTCCAGCCGGAGGGATGACATGGAGTCCTTGGGATATGTGCTGGTGTACTTCCGGAAAGGCAGTCTGCCCTGGCAGGGGCTGAAGGTGAGATCTCGCCGTCAGGGATTTGCCAATACTTTCGATGGCTGTCTTTGTGCTGTGATGTGCGCCAGTCTCTTGAGCCTTCGCCGTCTCCGTGAGTGTCTGTAGCGTTCGGCGTTGGTGTCCAGAGCCGTGGCGTCGTTTCGTTGCGACCCATCGACGCTCGCGCCCATCGGGAGCGGCCAATCAGCCGAGCCTCTGCCCCGCTCACGTGCCGGTCGTGTCCGCCAGGCGGTCAACAAGAAGCAGAAGTACGAGCGCATCAGCGAGAAGAAGATGTCGACCCCACTCGAGGTGCTGTGCAAGGGCTGTCCGGGCGAGTTCGCCATGTATCTCAACTACTGCCGCGGCCTGCGCTTCGAGGAGGCGCCCGACTATATGTACCTGCGCCAGCTGTTCCGCATCTTGTTCCGCACGCTAAACCACCAGTACGACTACACCTTCGACTGGACCATCCTGAAGCAGAACGGCATTGCCGCCCACGCCACCGGCCAGCCCAACCCGACCACCGCCGTCCAGCCAGGTGAGAGGCTGGCAACAGGTGCCGGTGGCGGGGCGCAGGGCCCGAGGGGTCACGGCCCGCCCGCCAAAGGGGAGGGGGCACGCTGCTTGAGGAGCGGAACGAACCGGTTGGCGCACTGCCGGCCCGCTGCGTTCAGCTCCGGGAATGGCTGCGAGCGCGTGGACGCTGTCGCCCGTGGGGCGAGAGCAGGCTGCGGGGTGGCGCTCGGGCAGGCATGTGAGCGACGAGGTGGGGTGGTTGCGCTGGGCGGTGTGCGGGGCGTGCTCTGTCCCCCCCCCCCTCCATCCCTAGGTGGGGATGGGGGACTGCTGCCGGCACTTGAGCACCAGCAGAATGCGCCTTCTGGTGCCGCGTGCAGCTGGGGGTGCCGCGCGCTGGCGGGATCAGACTCATGCCGTATGTGTGCAGGCCACTTGCTACAATGGCGGTTCTTTCCGTTTCAGGAGTCAACTGAGCAAGTCTAGCCAGTGTAGGCAAGCGACCTGTAAGCAGGTTTTTGTTTTCTTTGTTCCTCGCTCGTGGTGGATGGCATTCCATGCTGCTCCGTGTGGCATTTCCGTCTAGAGGCGTCGTTAACGGTTCTCCCCGCCCCCTGCACGCGCTACCCGGCACCGGCCGGTCGGCTGGCAGTGTGCCCTCCTGACGCGACATTTGGTCACTGGCAACTTAACACGGCTGGGACGGTCGGTCCGCATGGGTGTAACCGCATTCTGTGTGGGCTCCACACGAGAGGACGGTTCGTTCTCCGCCCCAGCTGTTTTCTCTTCGTGTTGGAGTCGAGGCTTTAGTAATCCTAATGTTTACAACTGTCCACGCTTGATATTTAGTCGTCGATATCAGATGTTGGATCACCATGTGTTGCAAATAGCATTGGCAGCCGGTACTCTGACTTGTGTTGGAGCTCTTTTCCCTCGGCACGGCGTCCTTCGGTCCGATCTTTGCACGGGATTGCATGTTGGCCCACTCGTTCCGGCGGCTGTTCATCTGTCTGCCTGTCGTCGAACTGACCAAGCCCGCTCACACCGTCACTCACACGCACGGCTTGTGTGGACGTGCTCCAGATGCCGTTTTCGCCCGGGCTCCCCGCCCGGACTCTGTTCTTGATGCTCGAATTGGGACATCGTTTGATCGATAGCAGTGAAAGCCGGAAGGTTGTGCGTGCGTGCGTGCGTGCGTGCGTGCGTGCGTGCGTGCGTGCGTGCGTGCGTGCGTGCGTGCGTGCGTGCGTGCGTGCGTGCGTGCGTGCGTGCGTGCGTGCGTGCGTGTGTGTGTGTGTGTGTGTGTGTGTGTGTGTGCGCGTGCGTGTGTTAGGTATACGTACCTGGCCGCGATCGCAGCGCAGTGGTCGTCCGCGTATGGTCTGACGCTACCTTCCGCGCCTGCAGGTGGCCGTTGAGCCGGCCCGGCAACGCCGTCATGCAGCCAAGACAAGCGCTCGTTCTGGTGATAAATCCTAGCAGATACTGTGCGGCAGTCCCCGATGGAGGGACGCGTCCAGCCCGGCGCGGCCGCCCTGCCGCCGCCGGCGGCGGACATATATACATTGTAAACAAATTACACGTTACCAGAGTGCAGTGCGAGAAGTGCCGTGAGTGGTGAGGCCGGACGCAGCCGGCGCGCGCGCGCGGACTGGCACTGGCGGCGGCCAGTGCATTCGATCGTGTAGGGTAACGGACCGACTGGAGGGACCTGCGGCGCCACGCTGCGAGGGTCCGTGCAGCCAGCGTGCACGGTTGGCCAGGGCCGGCCGGCCGTCCCCACCGCCAGCACCTTTTTATCAGACGCAAATCAGCATCGCAGCAGTTTTTAACATGTGTTGGCAATACATGTGATGAAGAGGTTCGCATGTGTTATACTTGCCGGGTGATGCTAACACTTACTATGTTAATCTGCATTACCTGCACTACTTGTTTCTGAGTTCGTTGGTGTCAGTCTGTGTCACAAGATCTTCTCATTGTAGGACGTTTTGTAATAAAAGTTAAGTAAATCGTACCCGTGTCTCGTGTCCGACCATTTACCGGCACTGAAGGGTGCCGCGCTAGGACGGCTCGCGGGGTCCCAAGGACACGGTTCTTCGGGGGCTGGTTCGATCCGCATTGGGTTTGCCCCATCCAGTTTGTCCTCCAGGTGAATTTGAATTCCCGGTGCCCAAAACCCGGCGATGTGGTCGCCATGCATCGCAGGGTTTTGAATTGCGGGAGAACAGTTTTAGCTAAGGTTCGCTCTGTGACCGGGATAAAACGTGCAAGTTATCTGATTAGTCTCGCGCACTGTACACCATGCGTCATTTCTGACTATTACGCTTTTTAAGTTGTCAGGTTTGGGCACTGGGTAACTTGCCCTGGAAGGGATGGCCAACATTTGCATTACGTATATTTACCAAACCTGGAATGTAACTCGTATGCACCACACGAAGGCGTTGTGGCCTCTGGCAGTCTTTATTTTTTATGTAAGCAGCAACAGCTTTGGACCCATGGTTTCCCGGCATTATGGGGTCGTGGACTTCGAGAAACAGCCCCCAGCAAACTTGGAGAAACGTGAAACGACGATGCTTGCATAAGTAATCTGGATATATGAGGGTGGTCGACGGTTTATGGCAGCGTGCGTGATGAGAACACTGGTGACAGCTTGTGGGGGTGGTCGGGTGTTCGCATGCGGGGACTCGGATGATGTGTTCCTTGCATGTTTGTAATAGTAGTGTCACATATTGCAGTCATTTTTGGACCCACTTGTCCTGGTCAAGCGCAATTTTTGCGTAACCCACGATCCCTCTTCCACGATTTGATCGTAAGCATAGCTTGGGGCGTCCTGCATTGACATTGTAAGAAATGTTTGCCTTATAATGTTGCAGCAGATTTGTAACTGTGTGATAGTTCGCTAGTGACAACGCTTCTAGTCGCCACCCACTTACTCTCCCCAACACTCACTCCACGCCACAACGTCCACGTACGCAACCAACAGCAGCCTTACGTCTTGGGCGCATGAGCATACGAGCATACATGGTAATAAACGGTTCGCCTCATACACAAGCTCCAATCGGTGATGAGTCATAATCACCTACCACGGAAGTCATGTGATTGTTAACCAATGGGAGGCGAGCACGACACCACACAATATAGCTAAACCTATCACAAAGTGTGGGATCGCCTCGCGATTCCAGGGCTATATGATGCAGCACACGGCTGGTGAGGCGCTGAGAATAACTTTAAAGAAAGTATCGAATCACATTACTCATGGCATGCAAAGTATTAGGTTCCGACGCAACAGGCGGCCTGTGGCGAGCGATCTGTTTGCCAGATGCCCTAGTCTGAAAGGAGACGATTACAATAACTCGCCCGTCGGCGGCTGGCTGATGTAAGAGCGCACCACCCGAGCGAGGGTGAGTCGCTCGAAGGCTGGCTGATGTAATAGCGCACCACCCGAGCGAAGGTGAGTCGCTCGGCGGCTGGTTGATGTAATAGCGCACCACCCGAGCGAGGGTGAGTCGCTCGGCGGCTGGTTGATGTAATAGCGCACCACCCGAGCGAGGGTGAGTCGCTCGGCGGCTGGCTGATGTAACAGCGCACCGCCCGAGCGAGGGTGAGTCGCTCGGCGGCTGTGTTCAGCGGACACAGCGCGGCAGTAATACGTAGCTAATGGAAGGCGGCTAGCGAAGGGCCACAATGTGAACTGTTTGATGACAAGAAGTCGACTTTGTTGCTTCACAGCGTGACGTCCTTTCGATGAAATGTCGAATATAGGTTAAAAGCGGAGGTTCTCACTGGTCAAGGTGGGAATGCGAAAAATTAATGGAACATTCGGGTGATCACACGTGATTCAAAGTACGCTGGTGCAACATTAAAACATGTTTATATTACATCACTTAACATAGTGGTACATCAATCGTCTATTACAACTGTATTTCTACCTACAGTGTATGTTTTATCATTTAGAGACCCTATAAAAGCCCTTTGGCACACGGCGCCGCTGTGTATATTTTTCCGCAGTGGGCGGTGCGAAGGCCGGAATTAGCGCTTCTTTCCTTTCGTATTTTGACTAGCATTGCTTTGTCGGCCCCATGAGGCAGCGGCAGATGAAGTGGCCTGAGTTGTAAGGCCCCTCTATGGGACCAGCGGGACCCACATCCATGGCGCTGGCGGTAGATTGGGCTATCCATAAAACCAACAGGCTGGGTCCGGGTTTGGCGCGGAGGCAGCCTGTGGTGCCTCCTCCAAGCCAGGGAAGAGGTCCGCGAGACTGTCTCTCAGCTGTTTGAGAGCCTCGCATGCCTCTGTGTGGTCCTGCGCTGTTTTCGCGGAGAAGTCTTTAAAGGGTGTGTTCTACATTTGTATGGGGTTTTGAACTGAAATATTCCTCTTGAAGATCATTCGGTGCAGTACACATCATTGCCCTTTTCAAAACCGAATCCGTTCTAGTTTCTGAGCTACACACCCGCGAAGTTGTGCGGACAAAACGGTCTCCCCGAAAAAGTCGGGTGTCCGAAAAATCCGAAAAGGTCACCCAGGCCTCATGACGCCACAATAAGGTCATTCAGCCCCTGTCATTCTGTTGGCCATGCGCTGACCAAGGCCAAACAACGAAAACTGTCGAGCTGTTCATATCTGGCATTTGTGAGCACGATTTCCAGATAAAACGGCCGCCGACTGGCTCTCAATCAGTGTTGTACAAGGTACGATGGCAATGTGTGATGACCATGTGTCGCCGCACCAAAGCTTAAACTTTTCAGAACCAATTACGTTACGGGCTACAGCGATGTCCCCTGGTTCTTCCATTGAACCTAGGGTTGCTCTACACATTTCAAAAGTACGGTCTGTTTGTTCCGCACCTGGAAAATTTGCGATTTCCTGAAGCGTGTACAATTGTTAACGGATATTACCACCAGCTACTATATCGTTGAACACTCTTTTTTGGAATACTTCCACAAGGAAACGAACTTCGGCACTAGACACATCATCAAAAGCCTCGAACGCTATCGCCTGAAGTCTCTCCGAAAATTTGGCACGAGATTTCCAGAATGTTGTTTTATGTTGGACTTAATGCAACTTCATTTGAGCGCAATAAGGATCCTGTAGCTCACTATCGCTCATAAAGGCACCTTCGCAGATCGTTCTAGACTATTCGGAAAGTTTCATTTATTAGTCTACGGGCAAATTTTCCTGCAGGTCCACTCAGTGTGGGTAGCCGAAGCCAAAGCGTTGATCGTCAGTTGTGCAAAAGTTGTTGTCCATATCCCTTACCCAATCATGAAGATTTGACGAATTTCCTCCAGTGAATGTTCTAACGTGTTGTGTAAGCCCCCAAACCCTAATCTGGTGTATGATTTCCTGCATGGTTTGTGCAAGCCTCTACTCTTTGTGCGATTACTCGCATGGCTTGTGCAATAAGCCTTCCCTCAGTGGTGTATTTGTAGGTGTGGTGACGTTTGTCGGTAAGCAGTAACACACAAGGATACAAATATCGCACTGTCATACCCTCAGATGCTGGTTCAAGCGTTCAAGGATAGGTGGCGCACGGGTTGACACACGGTCCCGATGATCTACGAACAAAGCTTGCAGCCTGGCGGCTTGCGAACTGGATATTTGCAAGTCCGGGTCACTGTGCACCGATTTGTGGCGGATCTAAATTCCTGGCGTGATGTTAAGACCAGTGACCACCTCGCTCGTGCCAGTCCTCGTGATAGAAGCAAAAATAAATATGCATTCCATACCTTCTACCGTAACTCCAACAGCATTCTCCATCCATCCCCCCCGCGCCTTCGAGTCTATGAGCATATTACAAACAGGGCAGCAAAAGGTTCGGCTTATATACTAGCTCCAATCGGAAACGAGCCATGATCACGTGCCACGGAAGCCACGTGATTATGAACCAATGAGAAGCGAGTACGACGTCGTACGATGGGCTGCTAAACGTGTCACAGTGTGGGATCGCCTCGCGATTCCGGGGCTATATGATGCAGGAGACGGCTGGTGAGGCGCAAGGATGACTTTTTAAAGGAAGCATCGAATCACGTGACGCATGGTGTGCAAAGTTTTGGGTTCCGACGGAACAGGTGGCCTATGGCGAGCGATCTGTTTGCCAGATGCCTGGACCTGAACAGAGACGAGGCTCAATGAACCCGCCCGGCGGCGGCTGGCTGATGCCATAGCGAACCGGCGTCACAACTTTGGTGCTACGGGAAAACTGCTAGCCGACCAGAGCGTTACATCGATTACACGCGACATTACTTATGCTGCAAAAACTGGTGCAGACTTCACTTGTACAAAATGCTTATCTACCTTATCTAACTTATCTCACTGTCTCTCAAGTTCCAACTCTTTGAAGTAGAAGTTAAACTGTGTATAAGTAATGCCGATTTGTTTTTGCAGTAGAAATAACGACGAACATAACATTTTGAAGCACAAGTTGTATTGCGTAGCATACATTGTGCATAAGTGTTGACGGTAGGAGTAATGCCATAGCACTCACATCGGTGCGAGTTTTTGTTGTAGCACTCATGTCACTGAACCTGCAGATGTGGCACTATAAGGGAGCAATCGAACCCGCAGCCAAAATTCAACCTTTCATTGGATTTCGTTCAGTGTTTCGCATGGTGTCAACAAGGTAGACCTCCCTAGTTTCTGAGCTACGTGCCCGAAAATATGCATACTATCTCGTGCAGATTATTTCAGTGGCCACCCAAGGCATCCATGACGACATAATAGTGTTATTCATATCCTGCGATTCTACTCGCCATGTGGTGAGCAAGCACAATAAAAATATGATCGAGTTTTCCCCGCACGGCGTTCGTGAGCGCAATGTCCAGACATAACGGCCGTCAGCTGGCTTTCAATCAGTGTTGTGCAAGGTACAATGACGTAATCAATAACGTATTAAGGAACATATCTAATGAACAGGGGATTTATACTGGTTGGAGTAGTTTTTCCACTCACTACATCAATAGTTATGCGTGATCTTACTTCATAAAACTTGATGTTTGGTCCAATATCTTCAAA